CCCCTGACTGCCCACAGCAACTCGCTACCTCTGCTCCTCCCCACCCTCTCCCAGGTCACCCGTCTGCTGATACAAGCTCCAGGAAAGGGTTCCTCTCAGTGTGGCCCCGGCTCCCAGTCGGCGCCCAGTGCACAGCCAGCCCCCGCGGGTGCTTCCCCAGCGAGTGGAGTGGATGGGTGCTGTGCAAAGACTGTGAAGCGCTCAGTGTCCTCTGCTTGCCTGGGCTACGAGGCTGCAGAGCCCAGAGCCGCGCTCCCAGAGGCTCACAGAACAGCACCCAGCTGCTGCCATGCAGCTGTGCCCAAGCGACACCTGAAATGGGGAGGAGGACATCCACCCCTCGGGCCACAGAGCAGGGACGAGCGCTCAGGGGTGGGAGCTGTCCCTAGAGCCCAGGCTGGGTGGTGTTGGCCGTGGGGCTCACTAGCCCCCGGCAGGAGGCCTGGGCCCCGGAGTGAACACCTGCAGCAGCTGTCCCACAAAGCACCCTGCCTAATGTGTGTGTGCAAAGACACCTGTGCGCAAAGACACCTGTGCAAGAAAAGGGGGACGCAGCGGTGCCCGCAGCAGCTAGGAGAGGGGGTGTCCACCTCTTAACAACACACCCTGCGGGCTCCGTTCTCTCTGGCATTTTCTTCACAAGCCACTCAACTTCTGTAAAAAAAACCTGCATGATGATGGACCAGAAAACGGAGCAAAGTAGAATCTATTGATATTTTCCTCTTGGATCTGGTGCCGTCCCAACCACCTGTGCTCCTTCCGCTGGGACCAGCCTCGCTTGCACAAAGCCCACCCTCCAGACCAGAGCTTGGCATGGCTGCTCCGTAGGCCTACGAAGCTCCAGTCCCCACCGCCCCCAGTCTGGGCCCGAGACACCATCCTATCCGGCCTCCAGTCTATCTGTCCAGAAGGTCTCGAGAGTCCTGGTGGTCCTCCTTGGAACCCCAAGCTGGCCACCCGCCAAGGCCACCTTCCCAAGCGCCGCTGAGCCCTAGCCTCAGGTCACCTTCCCCGCTTAGCCCAGCACTGGCGGCCCCTCCCCAGACACCTAGCCATCCTGCTGCTTCCGAGTGCTAAGGGGAATGCCTGCCACTTTTATAATGAGGAGGAAATAATATCCACATAACAAACAAACAATTTTGAAAAACACAATCAGAAGAGCCACTGCACAGAAAAAGATGAAGAATCGCCTCCCCCATCCTGAATGCAGGTCCAAACATCTCTCCTTCTTGGTCTGGTTTTCACTTGTTTTTCTCGCAGCTTTTCCTTGGTGTATTCCCTTCCTCTCAGCTGTCAGAACCCTCCATCTCAGGGAGAAACAAAGGGGGATTCTTTTTTGGTTTTGGGGTGTTTTTTTGGCAGCTGGCGGGTATGGGGATCCAAACTCATGACCTCAGTGTTATAAGGCTAAGTTCTAACCAACTTAGCCAGTGAGCCAGCTCCGAAGGGGGATTCTATTGTCAGCTTTGTGTGGCTCTTTCTTGGCCTTTATCTCTTTCTTTTTGTTTTAGTGGCTGGCTGGTACAGGGATAGAACCCTGGACCTGGGTACTATCAAGCACCACGCTCTAACCGAACAGCTAACCAGCCATCCCTGTACAGGGATCCAAACCCATGGCCTTGGTGTTATCATCACCGCACTCTCTCAAGTGAGCCACGGGCCGGCCCCAAAGAAAAACATTTTTGAACACCACCAGAGAAACAACACATTACCTATTTGAGAATAACTTGAATATCTGGACTTTCATCAGAAGCCATGCGGCCCAAAAGGAAGGGGCACATTTTTCGAGTGCTGACATATGAGAGCTGTCCAATCAGAATTACACACCCAGCAAAGACGTGCTTCAGGATGAAGGTGAAGCAGAGACATTCTCAGATGGAGAACTGAGAGAATCTGTGGCCATCAGACCTTCTCTCAAAGAACTGCTACAGGACAACCTTCGGAGATGACACAGGAGGACGCTTGAGATGCCAGGAGTGAAGGACGGGCAGCAGAAATGGGAACTGTCTGGGAAGATGCCGCAGACTGTCCTCTTGAGTTAAAAATTATGTCTGACGGCTGAAAGCAAAAGTTACGACACCGTCCAAGGGGCCTTCAGTGTACACAGAGGGAATAGTTAGGACAATCGTGTCATAAACGGGGAGAATAAAGCGACCCGAACGGTGATGAGGTTTCCACGTTCCACTTAAGGTGATAAAACGTTGATGTCAGTAGACGAGGATGAGTATGGATGCTGTAATCCCACAGCGACCCCTGAAGATATTATGTGAAGAGACATAATGGAAACCACAGCTGGTAAATGAAAGTGGAATACTCAAAAAAGTTCAGGTAACATAAAAGAAGACAGGAAAGAAAAAACAGAGTAATACTAAAAATAAAAGTGGGGGGTGGGAAACAAAAACATAATAAAATAGCAGACATAAAGCCTAACAGAATAATTACATTAAATATAAAGGGCCTAAACACACAGGTTAAAAGATGAAGACAGAAGGAATGACGAAAACACAACCCAAGTACACGCTTTCTACAAGAAACTCACTTCAATGTAACAGTTCGGGAAGGTTCAAAGTAAAATTTAAAGAGATATATCAAGTGTTAAACAAGGTCTCCCCAAGTTCCATTTCCACCTTGGACTTCAGAATGTGACCTTACTTGGAAATTGGGTTTTGCAGATGTAATCAAATTAAGATGAGGTCACCCTGCCTTAGGGCTGCACACACTGTTTTTGTCCACTGATTTGTTCCTCCAATACACATTCAATATTGCGCACAACGTCACAGCTGTGAAAAACAGTCTCCTGCCCTCATGCAGCTCATGTGTCGGTGCAGGAGAAGCCACAGATGAGCTAACTGGGAAGGCTGTGTCATGTGTTGGGGTGACAAGAGCAGAGGAGAAAATGAAGCAGAAAAGGGGAACTGAGGGCACCGGGGGTGGGCAGGGAGGTCAGGGAGGCTGTGCCAAGAATGTGGGTGCAGGACATGTGGGGGCACACAACGTCACAGCTGTGAAAAACAGTCTCCTGCCCTCATGCAGCTCATGTGTCAGTGCAGGAGAAGCCACAGAGGAGCTAACTGGGAAGGCTGTGTCATGTGTTGGGGTGACAAGAGCAGAGGAGAAAATGAAGCAGAAAAGGGGAACTGAGGGCACTGGGGGTGGGCAGGGAGGTCAGGGAGGCTGTGCCAAGAATGTGGGTGCAGGACATGTGGGGGCAGCTGGCTTTCTTGAGGGGTGCTCAGGCAGAGGAAACAGTGGGCACAGAGGCAGGAGGCAGGAGAGGGCAGTGCTCACGAAACAGCGAGGAGGCCCTGGAGTGACACAGTAACATCAGAGATCTGCTTATTCATGCTTATCACAGGACAGACACTGCGTGCTCTAACTCTCCCACTAGGGCTGACTCAGATCCACTCCTACAGCATCTTTTCCCAGAAGTTTCAACCCGTTTCTTCTTTCTAATCAGCTGACAAAGCAGGGGAGGTCCACCACATTCCTCCTTTTCACACGCAGCAGACCTTCCCTCCAATGCTGCACACACTGAGACATATCTTAGCAAAATTCTTCTGGCACTGCCAAAATCGAAGTACTCTCTCTACCCTGCCCTGCCCAGAGGTGCCCCTGTTGGGTGCTCTGGGGCCTTTCCTGAGGGTTGGGCAGCCCCACAGCCCAACGCCCCAAGCTGCCCCAGTGCTTCTGCTCTGGTTTCTGTGTCTCATCTTCCCTCCAAGGCCAGGTGGGGCTCTGGTGCAGGACTAGGCTCCAGGGTGGGGAGGGGTTCTGGGGTAGGGATGTGGGCTGGGGTGGTTGGGGCTCCAGGAAGGGCAGGACTCCCACATGGCTGCCTGGGGTGACCCACCTCTCACAGGTCCCTGTTGGAGGCTGCCCAGGATCTTCTCACCCAAGAGATGGATCAAGCGAGTCACCACCTGGGGGCAGAAAAGGAAGAGTGGTCCCCAAACTATGCATTTCAAACCACGAAAGGCTGGGGATTAAAAGCTCCACAGTGATGCTCAGGAAGTGACAGGCCTAACCCTAACCCTGTGCCTGCTTTTTTACTTGCCATAAACTGCGGGCTGCTGTAGGCTCTAGAGGGAGCCTGCATGGGCCAAGCCAGCACCTTTCTGATTTCCGGGAAGGTGGGACTTGACTCTGAGGGGACCCGGTGATCACCCAGCCCAGGGTGACCGTGGCAGGACAGACGTGTGAGGGGCATGTCCTCTGGGACCTTGAGCCCAGTCCACCTCTTGCTCTCAAGTCCAGGGGCAAACAGACACCACCAGAGGAAGCACCATGACCACAGAGGCAGGACAAGGACAGGCTGGCGTGGCCTCCCCACAGCTGAGACCTCAACTTGGCCAGATGCTGTCTGCCTGAGTGGACAACCCTGCTCCAGGAGAGAGCTGGGCACGTGGGCTGGGGGTTGGAAGATATCCAGAAATTACTACAGTTTTAGATATAATAATGTTATTTTTGATTGCATTAACATTAAATTTTTAGAGTTGTAAACTAAAGTATTTCAAAATATCTGCAATTTACTTCTTTTTTTTTTTCTTTTCCCTTCTTGTCTTTTTTTGTGACCGCAACCCTCGGTGTCGCACCCACACCACGCTCAACCAGTGAGCGGACCGGTCTCTATACGGGATCCGAACCCTCAGCAGGAGCGCCACCACGCTCCCAAGCACCGCACTCTACCGAGTGCGCCACCGGGCCGGCCCTGCAATTTACTTCTTAAAATGCATTTTTAATTGACAAATACAAATTGTTATAATTTCTTTTAAAGGCTTTCATATAAAAATAAAGTGAGTTAAATGTGTTTTGATCGCTAAGGTTTACAAGACGACAGAGGAGTGTACAGGCAGTGTAACTGCCATTGCCTCTAGCTGCAGCGCAGGATCGTCTGAAAAGAGAAGCTGCTGCCCGCTGCAGTAAAACCTAAGTCATCCAGGACAGCAGGCGGAAGGCACAGAGGGTCGGCCGAGGGGCCTCTTTCCTCACGCTGCCCCACGCCTTCCCGTCCAGTCTTCTTCCGGACCCTCCACCGCCCCAGAGTGCAGTGTCCCTGCTGAGAGGACTGCGAGGTAGAAGCAGCTGTCAGAGCACAGCTGTCCTCAGTCCCTGGTGACCAACGTGGGCCACCCACCAGCTTAATATCCCCTGGAGCCTAGAGTCAAAGATCCATGGAGGATGCCAAGGAAAGCATCCAAATTTTAGGATATGAGACAAAACACAGTTTGAGCAGAGGAGTCCAAAACAGAAGCTAAAAGGGAGTCTGGTTTATATGCAACTAATCTAGCATCAAACTGTTAATTGGGGCTAATTTTTAAAAACTGCATTTTCTTATGGAGAATTTGAAACACACAGAAGTCAGAAGGAAGAGCAGGTGGACTGGGCTCTGCCCTCACTCAGCTCCAGTAATCTTACTTCACATACAAACGTGGCGTTTTATCCATTAATACTTGAATTTGCATGTCTAGAAGGTAAGAACTCTTCAAAACATAACCATAGTGTAATTTTCACAATTAAAAATCAATAGTAATTCCAAGTTAGAGCAGTTTTTTAAATGATTATTTTGACATCAAGTTGATATTGTTTCAAAATAGACATGAAAAGGTACACAACATCTTTAGTCATCTGGGAAATGCAAATTTAAATCACAATGAGATATCATTTCCTTCCCAAAAGAATGGCTAATATCCAGAGACCAGAAGAGACCACCGAGTGTGGGCAGCTCTGTGGAGCCGTGGCACGGACAGAGCAGGTGGCGCTGGGACAGCTAACATCCACCTGATGACCCCTCAGCTCCACTCAGGGTACTCCACAAGGGAGATGAAAAGTCTGTCCATGAAAACGTTTGTGCAAGAACGTTTTTAGGAGCCTTACTCCTAACAGCCCTTAACTGGAAACAACCCAAATATCCATCAACAGGAGAATGGATAAAAGGTTGTGGTCACAACAAAGTGCCCCTTGGCAATAAGAAGGCCGCAGCAACGATAAAACCACGCGGGTCTCTGAAATACCACAAACACCACGCCCAGCAAAAGAAGCCACACACAAGGCACTGCCGCCTGCATTATTTCACTCATTCAAAATCCAAGAACAGACGGGGGTTGGAAAGTGGTGTTTGAGGGCAAGGGGCTGACTGGCAGCAGCCCCACCATGGAGCTTCCTGTGCTGGAGGGTCCTGGGGCAAGGCCGGCCGGCCGCCTGCTGTGAGCTGCGTCCTGTCAGTCATCCAGTGGTGACCTGCGGTGTCACAAGGAGAGACCCCTCCGCAGCTCACACCACACCCGGGGCTGCTGCTCAACTTGCCCACAGAGGAGAAGGGAAACCCAGCACTGTCCCTAGTGGTCAGCGTGGGTGTCGCACCAGCTGGAAGTGGGCAGTATGGTCTGGTGTGAGAAAGACCTTCCCAAGGCAGGAGACAGTGAGACTGGAAGGGTGGAGACAAGAGATGGGAAGGTTTCTGGATCCATGGCAGTGGCCATGAGTGGACCATGGTCCCACCAGGGTGGGGGAGCACAGCTGGCCTCTGCCCTCAGAGCTCCAGGACTGGCACGTGGGGTCACCAACTGGGGTCGCGTGGCCACTGCTGGCACAACTCACAGAGCGTGTCTCCCTCCAGGAGAGCAGTCACCCCCTCCTTGGTGTGGCTGGCTCACAACGACCCTGCAGAGAACCACAGCCCACCTAGAAGCTGCTGGCCGGAGGTGAGGCCCTGCCCTCCGGGCTGTGGCGACACCCTGGGGTCCCACAGGCAGATTACAGGCCTGAGCCCAGCAGGTGGAGGAAGAGCAGCGCTGTCTGCACATCCACATGCCCTGCAGCTGCACCCTCGGGCTGTGTGGCCTGCCATCCACTCGCAGGCTCTGCCAGGCTCTCCTGGGACTTCAATGGGCACCCACAGCACCCTCGGTTGTCACCCTTGTCAGAAGCCCTCAGAGACCGGAGTCTGGGTCGCCCTTGGGAGGCGTGTCGGGAGCGGAGGGAGCCGGCAGTCCTGTGGTAAGCCTCAGGAGGTCTGCGCAGGGCAGGGGTGGCCTGGGAGAGGCCCGGGAAGTGCCGGGGGCCACGCCCTCCCCCACCTTCCCATCTGCTGCAGAACAGAAGCGTTTCTGGGACATGTGCATCATGTGCTGGCTGAAGGTCGAACAGACCTATGCCTTCAGAGCCACTGCAGCCGGTCCTTTCCCCCTTGCTAGGGGCCCGTTCCTCTGAGCAGCTACATCAGTTACTGCAAGTAGAGCAGACCACCAGGAAAACCAGCTGCAGCCCCGGCCCTGAGATGAAGCACAAACTCCCCTCGCCCTGCTGCTGGGACTGCTCACCACTGCCTGCCCCCTTCGGGTTCCAATTCCACCTCTCCTGAGCCACACCCAACGAGGAAGCCCCACTCTGCCTAAACCAGCTCTGATCTGTCACTTTCTTCAAAGGCATCCAACCTGCCTGCTCCAGGTTGTTTTCATCTGCACTGAGACTGAGTTGTCACCTGAACTTCAGGCACAGCTCGGAACAAGAGCCCTGCACCCCCCTTACCTGCGGATACCTGCGCTTGATGGCCGTCAGGGCTCTGGCCGGCAGCTTGGCCAGTTCTGAGTCCCGAATAGCGTGCACTGTGGTTGCCCTGGCCTGGTGGGTCAGCGTTTCCACCTGAGGAAGAAGAGCGAGATGCTGGGACCTCAGTGCTCAGGCCATGCCAGCTGCACCTGTCCAGAGGGCAACAGCAGCATGGCAGCAAAGGAGAAAGCCCCACCACTGAGCCCTCGACTCCACATGGTGGAAGCAGCCAGGGAGCTTCTGACAGAACAGATGGTTGTGCCATCAGAACGTGCTGAAGCCAAAAATGTGCCCAGCAACCCAGACAGATCCCAGTGCAGGCGCTGGCCACAACAGGCTGTCACCAGGGCAGCCTGAATACTCAGAAAAAAGTGCCTTCGGAGAAGAGTCCAGCCCTCCCATGACAGAGCCCAAGCGAAATGTCACCTGGAACCTGCAGAAGCCCTGTTGTTGGGTACTGAGGCATCTTGTTGGGTATGCAAATTTTCACCTAGAAGACGGCAGCTGGAGCCACCAGGCTGCACATAGCACCACTGTGGAAGACACTGGCCCAGAGCTCTTGTGAGCGCTGGGACAGGGTAGGAAGAAACGGCCCTGAACACACGCCTGCCGAGACACCTCTAGCCTCAGGGGGCCACCCAGAAGACCCCTGGGGCTTCCCCACACATTGTTTTAAAACTTTAAACAAGTTAGCAAACGTCCCAGGCTGTGGCATCTTGTGGCTGGTCAGCTGTAGCTCTCATGGAGGAATGCGCTGGTGCCGATGGCCCTAGCAGGCCTGGATCAGCCACCAGCTGCTCTCCCTGGAGCCCTGGGCTGTGGCATCTTGTGGCTGGTCAGCTGCAGCTCTCATGGAGGAACGCGCTGGTGCCGATGGCCCTAGCAGGCCTGGATCAGCCACCAGCTGCTCTCCCTGGAGCCCTTTGGGAGATGACTGCTGCTGCTACCTGTCCGCCAGGGCTACAGCCTGGGCCGGGAACAAGTGCGCATGGAAACCAGGGATGGGTGCCCGGAGGCAGCGACAGGTACTCAGCAGCCGACCCAGCAGAGGCCGGGCCTCAAGCTCAGCATGGACTCCTTCAGGTTGCTTCAAGGGCTTTCCTCCAGGCCCAGGTAACTGGCCAGGCCACATCCAGGAGGTCACCCAAGATGTCACCCAGGAGAGTGGGAACAAGTGCGCATGGAAACCAGGGATGGGTGCCCGGAGGCAGCGACAGGTACTCAGCAGCCGACCCAGCAGAGGCCGAGCCTCAAGCTCAGCATGGACTCCTTCAGGTTGCTTCAAGGGCTTTCCCCCCAGGCCCAGGTAACTGGCCAGGCCACATCCAGGAGGTCACCCAAGATGTCACCCAGGAGAGATGCAGCGAGCAGGAGTGGCAGGCAGCAGGGAGCCGCACGCCTACCATGCCAACGAGGTCACCACGGCCACACTCCCCCGCCAGGCGCTTCTTCCCGTTGCCCTTCCGGACCACAGAGCGCAGCCGGCCGCTGAGGACGATGTATGTGCAGTCGGACTTGTCCCCCTGCCTGCAACACATACACAAGCCCTGGAGGCCCTCAGCACAGCGCCCCAGCCCCAGACCCTGCGTCCCAATGGCCAACTGGACCTCGGGATGCAAAAAAATCAAAGAATGGAGTCTTCTTGCTAAATTTGTTTTTGTTTTGAAAAATACAGTTATTTTTCGTTTAAAAATACTTATTTTAACAGGTATGAGTTTATTGTTAGTTTTAAATAGATAAATATTCTAAAATCTCCTTAGTTTTAATTTTTTTTTCCTTTTTGTCTTTTTTAGTGACCGGCAACGGGATCGCAACCCTCGGTGTTGCGCCCGCACCGCACTCAACCAGTGAGCAGACCGGTCTCTATGTGGGATCCGAACCCTCGGCAGGAGTACCACCGTGCTCCCAAGCGCTGCACTCTACCGAGTGCGCCACCGGGCCGGCCCATTAGTTTTAATTTTTAACATCCTTTTTTTTTTGTCCTTTTTTGAGACCGGCTGCACCGCGCTCAGCCAGTGAGCACTGTGAGCGCACCGGTCATCTCTATATGGGATCCGAACCCGCGGCGGGAGCGCTGCTGCTCTCCCGAGTGCGCCATGGGCTCAGCCCAATTTTTAACATCCTAAAAACTGATAGCTGCCACCCAGGCCTGCCTGTGACCTGGGGGAGTATGATGCGGAACGCAGCCTCTCGGACGCGTGAGGACATGCTGTGGCGTGGAGCTAGGGCAGCCGGCTCTGCAGGGTACCCAGCACGCAAGTACCTCAGTGCTGTTTCTAACGTGGCACTTGTGGGTCGTTGTGAAGGAAGGATGCCAAGAAAACACGCACGTGTGAGTGTGCACAAGTGTGCGCAGAGCCCTGGAGGCTGACAAAGGACACTTCTCAGAGAATCTCAGGGGTGTGGCTGAGGAAGTCTGTCCCTCACTGGTGCGTTAGCGGCACTGTTTTCACAGCCACTGCAGCACAGGGTCCAGAGTGAGAGAAGGGTGCCTGGGGGCCTCACCTGCATGCCCCACGCCATGCCCACAGGCCTCACCTGTATATTGCACGTCCGGCCTCCACCTCCACCCAGTCCAGAGCAAAGTCAATCTGTCGCACAAAGGAGGACATCCTCTGCACAACGGTGTGCGCGACACCCAGGACAACCGTCGGCTGCTTCTGCATGATTCTGCTGAGGGAGCCGAGAGTCACTCCAGCCGTCCCCCCCCCCCCCCCCC